TCCTCCTGGTGAGGTCCCCCAGGCACCTTAAACTTAGCAGTTCCTCAACTGAACTTCAGTATCCTGCCCCTTCCTCCACAGTTCCAGCATCCATCAGGCACTTGGGCCAGAAAAATGGAAGTTGTCCTGGACCCACACCTTCTCCCTCACCCCATGCATCAAAACATCACCACGTTCTGCTGCATTTTCCCTCCAAGTATACTGCAAATTGGTTTTCTCTTCACCAGCACTTCTCTCACAATGGCTGCCCTCATCTCTCCCTTGGACAACTGCAAGGCTCTGTAACCAATCTTGCCTCCTCCACGCTTGCCCCCACCCCATCCATTCTTCACATACTGCCAGCCTCTTTTACCTGTGTTGGTCTGATCCCGTCAGTACCCTGCTTAAAACTTTCAGTGGCTCCTTTCTGCTCCTAAGATAAAGCTCAAACTCCTGAGTATGTTTTAGGGTTCTCAACTACCCAAACCAGGATGGTGTGTAAGGGGCGCTATTAATAAGCACCCTGGGACAGGAAGCCTCTGGCCATTCTATTTATAAGATCCTTCATGATCTGATCTCACCAGCCCTGTTCCTCATCACAGCTCCCCATCGTACCCCTAAAACCAACACACAACACACACACACACACACACACACACACACACACACACACATCCCAGCCACATTCTTCTGGATGACCTGGTAAGCACATGCTATTCTGTCCACCTGAAGAACCCTTCTCCCCAGTCCCTCTGTGGCCAACTTATAATCAGCTGCTTCAAGAGTAAAAACAATTTCCTCCAGGAAGCCTTCCCTGACTTCCACCATGGGCTTAGGTGCCCTCTCCTGTGCTCTGGTCGATCTGGCTCTTCCCTCATCACAGGCCCTGTCACATCAAGTTGTGATGTCTTGTTTTGCACTCTAGAAGAGCACCTGGGGTGGAGGACCGAGTGGGATTCATTTGTGTTCCTAGCATCAAGACAGTGCTGGGCAGGCATTGACACTGTGCACTTTCCTGACTGCTAAATGAGTGGGAATTGGGCACCGTGTTGTCATCCTGGCTGCAGGGGACATATGGGGGAAGAGGGAACCTGGAGAAGCGACAGGTGCTTAGAGACCTGAGCCAGTTTCCCCAGGTGTCCTTTCCTTCCAGCCTCTGCTTGGCTCCCCCTGGTGGCAGCTCGGCAGGAGTGACAGGCCCTCCCTTCATGGTGCCCCACCGCTGACCCTGCCGCCACTCTGCTGCGGCCCCTCTCACACCACTAAGTCCCCCTCATTGTGTCATCAGAGGCCCTGCCCTAAGAACTTGGAGGGTGAGGATTACAGGTGGGTGGAGTGGCTCCAGGCTGACTTACATGCTGGAGGTAGAAAACCTCTGCTCCTATCGCCCAAGTGAAATGGATTGGTCAGGACTCGCTGCTCTTTTATATTCAAACCCTGAATCAAAACCCCAAAATGTGAGCTCATGGCAACTGTATGGGTGAAACAATAAGACCCGGCTGCAGCAGTGAGTGTGGCCGTGAACTTGGAGAATATAGAATTGACCCAGCTGAGAAAACAAAGCAGGACAAGGGGAATTGGAGAAAGCCTCTTGTCACTCCACAATGGCTTCAGGTATTTTTGCTTCAAAATGAGCCTTCCCCTCCATTTTTAATTTTACAGTTGGCCGCTGAGCTTCTGGAGAAATGTACTGGGGAAAAGAGCCCGGAAAGGGAAGGATGGAGAGGAGTCTGACTCTGGTGGCAGGCACGGTGAGCTGTCACCAAGGGGCATACAACAGGTCAGCAGCAACGGGGATCACACCCAGGGACTCAGCTGGACAAGGAGCCAGCCAGCTTTCTGAGGCTCAGGGGCAGGTAAGATTACCAAGGGCTGGGATGGAAAAGGTCACCCTGCCCCTCCATCTCTCCTTCCCTTTCAGTCTGCAATCTAAAAACCAAGGGAACATCAAGAACCAAGGGCCTGAGGAACTCCATGGCGTGATCTGTGTCCTTAAGAACATCCAAGGCTAAGGACATCAAGGGCCTCCAGGCTTCCAGGCACCAGGGTGAGGGGAATGGAAGGTGCTGAGACAGGAAAGCAGCCTCAGGGAGGGCGAGGCAGTACGGACCTGTCCAGCACCTGCACGGCTTTTCCTTTGCAACCTTAGAGGCCATGAAGAGCAGCTACTGAACAATCACTAGCACGGGTCTCAACTTCCTGAAAGCTTTACAGAAATGACCATCCCGTCTTCGTATCACCCCCTATATCCCTCACTCCATTGATTCCCCGGTAAAAAACACTCAAAAGAGATGGTGACCCCCCCCCCACCTCCATGCAAATGTACCAAATGTGACCACATGTCACTTTCCCGGTTATCAGACTTAGGGAAAACTCTCAGAAACTGACTTTACATTGGAATTTCCTTCAGATTTGACAACTAACATCTGGTCTTACTTCTGATTTATCATCTAACCTTACATTCAATCTTATCCCTGAAACGTTTTGCTTTTTTTTAAACACAAATTTTTCTTAACAGCATAAGGTCTTCTGAGGCTGCTAACATTGCCTGCCCCAGCAGAAACATCCCAGAATAGCAAACCTTGAGAACCAATGATGAAGCATGATCAATTCCAACCCCCACGTGTTTAGTACAAGGATCTGAATGTGTCCATTAACATCTTAGCTCTCCTGCAGTTGTCCTGCTGAGATCTAGACTTAGGAATGATTTAGAAGAAATACTTGAACCAAGATTCTACAGAACATCAAGCCTTACCCACTGTAATTTGGACAATCTGCTTTATTCTTAAACAAGGAGTCTGAGACTGGACCAAAAAAAAAAAGATCTGCAAGAGAAAGACAGGCCTCAAAAGTTGGTGAAAGAGTAAAGCAGGAGGGGAGTCTTTAGCTGTAGGTAGCATCACTTGCCTTTCAACCGTGACTGTCAAGACTTAGAAGACACGTGTTTCAAGTAGCCGTGTCCAGGGGCCAATGACCAGTTCTGAGGGGAGGGACACCAGAGTGTGCTTTTGAATAATCATGTGCAAAAAGGCTGAGCCTTTTAGAACAGCTTTACTCGAGAGCCAGCTGTGGGGAAAAAGCAGCAAAATAAATGACTCAATAGGAGTAAGATTGGTCCATCCTCAGCCTGAAAATGAGGTGTGAATTAACCTCGGGAGTGTGTTCTCACCCCATGGCTGTGTGAATTCCAGAAGAGGGTACAGGAGGGCAGCACAGATGACCCTCAGCTACCTCGTGACCAGAGGGGTGCTTTGGCATCCGTATAGGACTCCAAAGACACAGGGCCCTTCTATACCCTCTTCTGATCCTATGATATGCTGGTTGCTAAAGGCCTTGTCATGGCAATGAAAGTGAATCCCTAGCAAAGGCAGGGAGAGGGAAAACCAGAAGCAAGAGGAGACTGGGGCTCAGGGCTCTGGGAGCCAGCTAACTGAAGATGCACTCATCTAAAGACCAGAGGTGCTGACTGAAGTGAGCGCAGGAGTTGGGCTCCATTCCCTGACCGAATGTAACAGCTATTTTCACAAATAGGGCACTTACTCTCTCAGTGGTCTCCAGGCTGGTGCTGAGCCCTGGGGGCGGCAGTGTGGAGCTGTCTTCCCCATCCTCACATTAATAACATGACTCCTTTCAGGAAGCCTCAGGTCAATAGGAGAGTTTTGAGTTTCAACCAGTTTTTACACAATTCTAATAATCCTCAGGTTAAGAGCTACATGCTATTAATGGGCAAGTTAAATAAACTCTTGAGTGGAAAATGCTTTTATTCCAAATATGGAAAGCCCAAATTTGAGATGAAATTAATCTTTGGTAAAGGCATTAGATTTGAGAGTTGCCCAGCTCAGCCTTGGTCCAAGTAATCCCCGTTTCTCCATTTCTGAGGGGAGGGGCAGGTGAGAGGATGTGAAATCCAACCCAGTGGTGCCTAATGCTCAGAAGCAATTACTAAGCTATCACAGGTGTACTTTCCTCTCAACTTTGCTCTCACTGCCACTCCATTTAGCTTCTGTCCCTCCTCCCCCTGCCCCTCCAGGTCTGTTCCTGCTACTCTTCCCCAGTCAAGAATTGCTTGCCATCCAGGACACTGGTCTTTCGAAACAATGGCCTTGGTGGTGCTTAGGACACTTTGCTGAGTGTCTCTGGAACTGAATCTTGACCTTCCCCCAGGCATAGGGATCAAAGATGGCAACTGTCTCAAAATCTCATCCTAGGAACTAGATGGATTACCCAGGGGGGCCCGCATTAGATGTCTCATGTCCAAACATTCTGACATGGCAAGTCGTGTTCAACGGACCCAACACTTCAGCAAACAGCAGTATCAGCAAGTTGTGCCATCAATGCTCCTTGTCAGCTTCTCCCAGAGCAAAGACCTCGGGTGTAAGAGGGCTGGAGGGTCAGAGGAACACATTTCATTGCTCACTTCGGTCCCTTTTGAATCACTCTTTCCAAAGTGATACTAAATACCCCAATATTCAACATAAAGCAAAACCAAAAGCAGAACCAGGCTTCAAAGATAAGGGAGCCCTATTCACAAAGCTCCAGAAGCATTTAGCTTCCCTCAAAGTCAGAGTGCCCTTACTTGATGATGCACGAAGAAACTGACAACATTTGGGAATGCACTATAATTAGAACGGCTGAAATTAAATGCTCAATATGTGTCAACTACTGATGGAAAGTTTTATCACATTTGGCAAAACCAGCTCAAAATGATGAACAAATTATAGAAACTACTCTCTTCCTCTAAGAAAATGCCTAATTCCTATCTCCAGGAATAAGAACTAGAGATCCAGCAGGCATCATACATCCTGTAATTCAGGTCTAGTGCACAGAATTATACATCTAGTTCTTGGTTAACCCCAGACATCATAAGGGCTTACAGCTGAAGAAAACTGCAGCCTCATCTACTCTTGGCTTAACAATGCAGTCCGTAGCTTGGAAACAAAGAAGTAAAGAGCTATCATTGGGCAGCCAGACACCTAAGCCAAAGCTTGGACAGAGAAACCAGTACAGATATAGACCCACGATCACACAGAGACAGTTTATTAGTTTCTTCTACCAGAGACAGTGACATCACTTTTTAACAGACATCTCAGGTCATTTGAGAGGCCAAATAGATCCAAGGAAGGAAGATGATCATGAAATAGTTAAATTAATCAAAAGGCACTATGACACCACCTAAAACCTACTACCGTGGTGGTAGTGGGCTAAGGAAGATTAAGCTACAGCAAAATAATCTCACATAAATGTTAAGGATTATATAGCAGAAGCGGAGTTTGCTTTCCAGGAGACTGGCACGATGATCATTTGGGACCAAGAGGGCATTTGGCCAGGAAAAGAAAGTCAGGCCAAATGGAAAGGAACGGGGAAGAAGGAGAATCCAAGCGACAGAATCCAAGCAAAGGGGGATGGGTCAGGCTTTTTCCTCCCAAGAAGCATTTGCTGCCTGGTGGGCTGCCTCCCCTCAGGCTCCCGCCCTAGAGCTGCTCCAGCCTCACAGGAGCTCAGCAACCAGAGCTGGGTTCAGGCTGCCCCGGGCTCTTGCTATAATTTAGTACTTTAGAGAACTTGTCACACACTGGGGGCGGGGGTGGGTTGGCTTTGTTGCTAGTACCTCTGAACCAAGGAAACCCAGAAATGTTCACGTGCAAAGTAATGTGAGCTTCCCTGGGACACCTCAGATACCCTACATAACGCCCTCTGAGGTCAGAAATCTTGTAGCAGCTGAGCCGTGTGTAAAGCTGCAAGGCTCACAAGATCAAAGAAGCCAGGGACGAGACAATGCAGGCAGGAAATCCCAGCACTTACCCTCAATCTTTCTCTAATTTAGGAGAAACACTAATACACCTGATATGGGAGCAGAAAGCGACACTGCCACAAGCTGGGTCTTCTGCTAGATTGTTCATCAAATACCAAGGGGAAGTAAGGGGCGGGGTTCACTTTATTTTTTTAAAGCCTCCGAAGTTATTCTATTATAAAGGGACATGACTGAACAGGTAGGAGACAGATTCCCCATTATGAGTTCTCCTGATGGCTTCTGCAAGGATCATGGAGATGTCGATCACCTAGGAAGGCAAGAAAAGCATCGGGTTAGCATCACAGACAGAGATGGCTGGCCAGTTTGCAGACACTGATGAGCCTGGTAAGGGTCCTTCCTCTTAATGCAGCTACACTATGCTGTTTCCCCAAGTGAGCCGGCACCCAGCCACCCTACATAACAGGTTTTAAATATAACCAACCACTTGGAGAAGAGTAAAAATGCTAATGGAGAGAAAACTCTGACTCATCAAGATGGTGGTGGATTGGCATTTAAAAATTCTTAGGAATGAAAAAAAATGCTTACTTCAGCTGAAAAAAAAATCCTTAAGAATGACATCAACCCTCTAATTCCACATACTTCAGAAAGCCAATGGATTACTGTACACATTTTTAATTAAGCAAGGCTTTGTTCTTTAAGTGCAACAGCACTCGAAGTTTACTGTCTAAAATTATCTGGGGACTTACTTTAAAGTACTGGTGACCTCTGGTTTTGTAGGTCCTGGATGGAGCAAAGGAATCTGCATTTTACTAAGAACCCTAGGTAATTAACTTAGGTGGTTTCCAGAGCACACTTTTGAGAACCACTGGAAGTTCTAAGGAGCATACCAACAGCTTAAAGGTGCCACATTATGGTTACAGGGGCCAACATTTAACAGTGACACACAGTGTAAAGTGTGGATCTGAAAACTTCAGCATGCATCACATTCACTGGGAGAGCTTGTTAAAATGTACAGTCCTGGGGTCCATCCTCCAGAGATTCTGAAGTCTAGTAGTCTGAAATTTCAGATACTTGATTTTTTTTTTTTACTTTTATGTCACAGATCCTGATGGCAGCCTAAACCTTGAGCACAAAGGAGGAAATCTTCAGAACCCAGACACCTCATTCAACACATGTAACCACCTCCCAAACACTCAGCAGAGTCTTGTTTTGCAAGAGTCTCACCCTCACCTGTATTTTGGAGCAGTGCTTCATCTTATCCTCCTGAGGTATGGTATTGGTGACTACTACTGCTTCAAAGCATGCGTTGTTAATGCGAGAAATGGCTGGGCCAGAAAAGATCCCATGAGTCAGGATAGCATAAACTCTGGTGGCTCCAGCTGAGAGAAGTCTAGAGGAAAAAGCGGAGTTGATTAGGATTACTCTTACTTGTCACTGTAAAATCCGAGTTGGGGAAGAGGAATGTCTGCTCTGGCTGCCATAACAAAATACCACAGACTGGCTGGCTTAAACAACAGAATTTTATTTCTCACGTTTCTGGAGGTTGGGAAGTCTAAGATCAAGGTGTCAGCAAGGGAGGTTTTGTTCTGAGACCCCTCCTTTCGGTTTGTTGGTGGCCACCACCTTGCTGTGTGTTCACATGACCTCTTTGTGTGCGTACACCGTGGGCGGGGGTTGGAATCGAGCTCTGGCGTCTTTTCTTACAGGGGACCAATCTCATCATGAGAGCTCCACCCTCAGAACCTCATCTAAACCGAGTATCTCCCAAAGGTCCCATCTCCAAACACCATCACACTGGGGGATAGGGTTGAATTTTAGGGGGACACAATTCAGTCGATAGCAAGGAGAGAGAAATGGACTAAGAATTTATCTGAATAGGTTTGGATTAGTGTAAAAGGACTGTGGCACGAAACTGCTGCACTCAACAAAATCTGTGTCTTCTTCTTTCTGACACACAGCTGGACTACATTTCCCAGCCTCTATTGCCATTAGGTGTGGCCATAATTCTGGCTATCAAAATATGGACAGATACTTATAAAAATCTCCCATGGGTGATCCGCCATGTTCCTTTCCCTTTCTGGCTGGCCAAAATGGAAATGTCTCCCACGGTAACCTTGGAAGCCACATATTAAAGGTGCAGTACCACAAGACTGAAAGAGGAATATTCTCATTGGAGCATACTGTGAATGAGAAACTTTATCAATTCAACTTTATCAATTCAAAGAACTTTATGCAATTCCAGCATAGGGGGACAAAATAAAGCTAGCTAGCATCCCCTCAATTTAGTTCCAAGAAGCGTTGAAGTTGATCTGTTAGAGCAATTAGCATTATCATACTAATGTGATAAAAGTGGTTTTATAAATGTACACTCCAGGATCCAAACTAGGAAATCATTCAGCACACAAATATTTTTTTACCACTTATTATATATATGCTAGGGACTATACAAGGCACAGACACTTGGAGGTTTAAAAAAATTATAAGCCTATAAGCTTAAATTATAAATAATGGCCCATCTCTGGGAACCCTGCCTCACAGGTAATTAGAATTAAGCTAAAATACCTTTGTTTAGCTCACAGGAAACTGTGAATGACTGCAGGAAGGAAGAAATTAACACCTCCACTCCAGAGGTGGGCCGGGACCATGGAATGTTTGACTTTACTCCCTCCCCTTTTAATATAAAACAAGCCTGAATTCTAACTCAGGCAAGATGTTTTTTGGGGACACTAGTCTACCATCTTCTTAGTCTGCTGGCTTTCCGAATAAAGTCACTATTCTTTCCCCTCCCACCCCTCCCCAAATGATGAGAAACAATGCTATCCATAGCAGCTTGGATTATAAGCAATAGGGAGCCACTTAAGGTTTTAATGGAGGAGTGAGGGGGTCTAGCGTTAGTTTTAGGAAAATAAGTGAAGGGGGAGGCAATGTAAAAGATGGACTGGGGAGGTAAGAGACTGGTGATTGGCAGCAGTGAACAGAGGGAAGATAATTCAGGACAGTGCAGGCAAGAGGTGAGAAGGACCATGAGCAAAGGCAGTAGCAGCTAAAATGGACAGTCAAGAGGTAAGACCGGGGTTTCTAGTTCAGGTAAAATATAAATATGAGAATCTAGTTCTGTCTGCTCAGGCCTATGGATTTCTTACTTTAACTCATTAAAAAAACTATAAAAAGTAGAGTACTCAGAGTGATGAAACAATTTTGGAAATACAGTGGTGATAGTTGCAAAACATTGTGAATATAACTAATACCATTGAATTGTACTTTTAAAAATGGTTAAAATGGAAAATTTCATGTTTTATACAGTTAGCACAATAAGAAGGAAAAATAAAACTAAGGAAATCTGGAGAAAAAATAAAGAGTACTCATCAGTTTAACGCATTGCAATTCCAGCCTAGGGGGACAAAACAAAGCTAGCTATCATCCCCTCAATTTAGTTCCAAGAAGCGTTGGCAGGCTTGGGGCATTCAGTTAGCACTTAACTTTTTTTTTTTAACTTTGAACTCCCAACTCCACCACAAGGCACTCACTTGTCAGCTGCATGGCAGATTGTACCACAAGTGTCAGCCATGTCATCCACCAGGATGGCCACCCGGTCCTTTACATCTCCCACCAGCACCATGCGGTCCACCTCATTGGCCTTCTTCCGCTCTTTGTGAATCAGGGCAAAGTCCACATTCAACCGGTCTGCGATGGAGGTCACTCTGCCAGACAGAGTATTCACAGTTAAAAATCTGTGTGTTGGTAGGGGTGGGGGCTCTTAAGACAACAGAAAGGAATTAAAGACTGGGCTTGATTTCTGGGGGAGAATACTCCTTGAAACCCAGTAGTTCCCATGGTTGGGAACTACTATCATTGATTGGTATCACATACTGGGTTTTATAGACTAATGTCTTCATATTCTGAGAGCAGTTGCTGAATGTCTTGGTCAGACTTCAATTAGAATTCATTCTGGGTTCCAGTAGAGTATGGACAGACACCCTCACCAGTCCCAGGAAGCAGTATAATGCTAGGCTATGTTCATTTAACGGACTGGCAGCAGAAGAGGAGAGAGAGAAGATTTGGTTAACTAATGATGGGAAGGTACATCATCCCAATCTGATAGGCGGATGTGATGAGAAGTGAACCTGAACTTGGTGGGGGAGGAGCAGTACCCAGCCTGTTCCAATGCCCGTGCCCTCGTCACACTCCCCTCAGTGACCCACCGTCAATGTCAGTTGTACCTGGATACCAAGCTTGGGATTTCCTTTAATGACTGCTAGAAAGTTATACCAATTAACCAGTCAAACCAGGCATCTCGCTGTACAGCCCAAAGTATCTCCAAATCACAACAGAATTCCTTTTTTTAATTACAAGATAATACAAACCAGATCAGAAGGTGGGACAGAAAACAAATCTGTCTGGCAATAAAGTACCATATAATTCACTCAAACAGAAATCCATTTAGTGTGAATGGCTGTGCTGTTCCAGTGACATGTACAGCCCTGCCCCACTGTGCCATCCTTGTTATGTGTGAAGAGGCCTGTGCTTTGGGTTGTTTTTTTACTGTAGTACCGATCCAACCAGAGCACTCTGTCTTAATTCCCTTGTGACTATGGTCACATATCTTGAGTTTGTGCTGAATAAGGGAAATCTGTGACCACATAATAGAGAACCAACAAGATATGAACCACAATCTAGGCAACATTTGTTCCCTGAGCTAAATGACCCGTACCCTGTGCTCTCCATTCCTACTTTCTGGGCACATAACATCAAGAGTTACCAATCTGGTTGGGATGATTATTTAGCAAATGCATGTTCACTTACTTCAAGCATCCCAAACCATCCATACTCAATAGCCAACGAACTAAAAAAAAGCATAAAAGGCTAGAAAAAGTCACTCCCTATATCCTTGAGGAGAGAACCATGTGCAAAGTTGTGCAAAGTCACAATCGCACCAGAATCTACCTAGCCCCAAAACCCTGCCAAGATAGAAGTGCTAGTCACTCACTTTGAAAATATTTCATCTCTGTAAGAAAATTATAAATAAACCAAAAACTCACGTAGCCATAAGTCATCTACTGAAGGCAGTTTTATGTACCCAACTCTGAAAAGACAATTGTGCTTGATTATTTACTGGAAATGTGACGCTTTTCTAAGTCCCCGTGGAAGATGTGAAAATAATGCTAGGAGTTAAGACAAGTACGACAACCACCACGAGGGGGACGTTGTTTAGCCTCTGTCTCTAGTATTACAGATGGTAACTAGCGATGACATGGGGCTCACAAAGCCAAACATCTGGCTGGAGAACACAACTCAAGCTCTCAGCTTATCAGTTCTGTTGAAGTTTCTGAAATAAGCAGATTGTTGAGAAATAGTTATTGAAGATTTGAATGGCTTTTGGAAAGATCTGAATTCGCCCTTCCTAATCATCTGTGTTTTGTGGCTCTTTATTCTATTTCCACAACAAGAAGAACATGTGTCATGCTTCTGAATGCAGTACTAACGAGTGAGCCGCTAAGGAAAAGAAAAGCTCTTGGTCTGTACCACGTGGGCTGAAGCACTGCAACTGGCAATCAGTTTGTTTAGAATGATGTTCAGAGCTTGGCTTTACACAAAATCACCACTTTCTTTTTCTTCCTGCTTAATATTTTAATTCAAAGGATCAAAACGGTTTAACTAACAGCATTAAAAGGTATGTAAAAGCTTGCTTGTTCACGATCAGCTTGGGGTTCAATAGCAGGTGTCACTCATTAGAAAACAAAATTGCCTGTCCCTCCTGATGGGCTGATGGCAGTGATGCTAGCCCTGCGCTGCTGAGTCACTGACAGCTTAAGGTCAAGCCCAAGCCCAAGCCCATGATACCAGACTATTTAGCGCCCCCTCTGCTGCTATCTTGTCTTTTAGGTAATGACTCAGACCAGTACAAGGGGAGTGTGTAAAACCACAGCCAGCCCATGTCCCAGCTACCACCGCATACACTCTGACGTTCTTAAAAACTGCCACTTCTCATTATCTTGTAATAACCCATAATGGAAAAGAATCTGAAAAAGAATATATATATATACACACACACACACACATATATATGTATGTATGTATAACTTTATTACCTTGCTACACATCTGAAACTAACACAACACTGTAAATCAACTGTACTTCAAGAAAAGAGAAAAAAAAACCCTGTCACTTCAATAGAAAAACACCGCTTTCTGAAAGCTTTTCCCAGTACATTGGAAATAATATGGATTTCAATCATACCTCTTAGCTCCTCCAGCATCGGGCGAGACAATTGTGCAGTTCCTCCACTCAGAGATGTTCTCCCTTATCCACTTCAGGACGGCAGGCTCTGCATACAGATTGTCCACTGGGATATCAAAGAAGCCCTGTAGAATGAAGCTAGGTCAGTTTTGCTTCATTTTCCTTCTCTTCCGTTTACAAATGGTGAACACACAGAGAATAGTAACTTGGCCAAAGAATACTTTACTGCAACATTCAAACTGATCAGAAGGCATGCCCAGTGTGGCAGACTGTAAAAATAGCCTCCTTGAATCTGGGCTGTGCAAGACAGCCCAGGCACCATGGGCAGAGCCAGCCCTCAGGTAACCCACGACTGACCGTAGGCACAAGGGTGAGCTCTTAGGGGAAAAACAGCCCAAGTTCAGCCGAGACCGGAACTACCCAGCCAATGTGGAGACCCATGAGGTGATAAATACTTATTACCTTATGCCACTGTTGGGCTGGTTTGTTAAGGAACAAGAGCTAACTGGTAAACCAGTTAGATGCTATGATATATAAACTTAGTGGAAGGCGTTTATAATATATGCTCACAGAGAGTAACTAGAAGCCAGGAGTAATTAATACTCGTTGCTACAGATTAGTACAACTGACCTGATCCTCTTCTATAAAATAGGCAAAATCACCTGTCCTATAGCTCACTGAATTCCCAGAAGCCTCCAGTGATAATGATTTCAAAGTCTTTTTTAAAAGTACAAACTATAATGTGGTATTCTGCTTCCCTACCGCTGTGTTAATGCTAAAAAGTAGATTCTAATATCTATGGTTCTAAATGTAATAACAATAACAGCTTCCATCTTTTGGTGCCATTCAAGAGCCAGGTATTATACTATGAATTTAGTATCTTATTTAATACTCCCAATAACAAAGCAGCGTATGTTCAGAGAAGTTAAATAACCTGCCCAAAGTTACAAAGCTAGTAAGTGTCACAGCCAGTAATTCAAACGAGGTCTGATGCCAGAGCCTATACTCCACCACCCCACATCACTAAGACCATGAAATATGTTTAAGGTGAGGATGTTGAGAATGTCATCAATGTCTAGTTGATGTGAGCTGTACTTGGGCAGTTTTTGCTTCCCTGTGCTCCTCAGCATTATCAGCCCTCTCCTACCCCCTTTCTAATCCCTAATAATTCCTAAGCTAATATTTAGTTTCCACTGATACCTGAATTTGAGAAGCATGTAGGTCCATGGTGATAATATGATCTGCGCCTGCTACAGAGAGCATATTTGCCACCAGCTTGGCAGAGATTGGAGCCCGGCTCTAAATGGAGGAGAGGAAAGGAAAAAAAAAGGCCAATTTGAGAAACAATTCACTTCCCCAGAAGCATTTATGTATTGTGCATCTACTATGTTTAAGGCGCTGTGCTACCAGGAAATTCATAAAAAGTGACAGAACCATTGACTTTGAGTAGATCATAATCTAGCACAAATACTAAGTGAAATTATCATTTTTCCAAACCAGGATACATAACTCAGGAAAAAAAATCTTTCTACCTTTCATTTTCTTAATATACATATTTTGAGCCTAGTCAAGTGTTTCCAGTGCTCAATTATTTAAATTAGGCAGACTTTAAAAAATCTTTTTTGAAAGAATTTTACTAAAGTCTCTTTTAACATATACTCAAACCTGTGTCACATCTAACTTGTCAAAATTTAAAGACACATCACAGGATGGAAATTATAGTTCATTTTGTAAGTTATACCACTCCCTTACTTCTCTGTAGGTCACCCTTCCAGCAACCTCAATCCCCTTAAATAACACGTAAACATACTTGGCTACACTGTAAAATTGCAAGGCCCATGCCCTTCACTCCATAGGAGCACTGTATTCCATTAGATTAAAAATATCTGGCTTGCTCCCAGGCATTGTATGTAAAATTTGGACATTGATTACAATAGACCTGTATCTGCAAAGTTTTACATATATGCTTTATCCTCTAATACACCAAATAAGGTGAGAGATGCATGCGTATGCGTGTGTGTGTGTGTGTGTGTGTGTGTGTGTGTGTGTGTGTGTGTGTAATGAGACCGAGTATTCATGAAACAGACTTCAAGTTATATGAAGAGGTCACAACTAAAACCCCAAAGGGGTCTCAGAGGATCTACCATAGTTTAAAAAATATTCTACTCCATGGGAGCTGGTGCTTAGTCTTATTGATACAATGAAAAACAGTAGTGAGTTGGCCAAAAGTCACATATATATAACTGGAATAAAAGAGACTGCAAATGTATTGCTTTATACAAACCAATCTACATGCCAATTGTTTTGAAAATCAAGTAATGCCTAAGAGAAAAAATAATTTCCTCTAAATGTACATTTGATGATTAAGAACATTTTTGACTTTGGGCAAGTGTTCCTCCTTCCCCTGATTAAAAAAATTATTTAAAAAAAAGAAAGGAGATTCCTCTCCTACCTTATCCTTCTTATCCTGCCGGGCATAAGGGAAGCACGGGATGACTGCAGTAACCCGGCTGGCTGAAGCAATCTTGCAGGCATTAATCATGATTAAAAGTTCCATCAGATTGTCATTGATTTCACCACAGCCGCTCTGAACAATGTAGACATCCTCTCCACGCACACTTTCACCGATTTCCACACTACAGGAAAGGAAGGACAACAAAAATCAGAGATTTTAAAGCACTATACTGTACACCTACAGACAGTAAGGTCTAAAAAGCAGTCTCCCCACATATGCTATGAATGGGTTAAGGCTGCATGTGGACTTGATCTCCTCAGACTTCAGGAGATTCCCCTGCAGGACCCCCTGTACCTGGAAGAGTTTACTGCCCCAGTTTACCCCAGTGCACTATACAGATATTACCTATTTTTATAGGTGACAGGACTGAAAAAGACTGGCCAAGATACTTAAGAGTAATTGAACCAGAATTTCAGTAGGTGGGCTATATCTCATTTCGTATATGTGAATGCAGATTTGATATAGTATCTATGACTGTCACAATCCATGTATAACAGAAGTAGAAAGTTCATGCAAGGAATGAATCACTACTATTGTATAACGATGTCTTCTACAGGACAGTACCACACCTACCATACTGGCAGTCTACTCAACAAATATTAAATGTCCCTGTGCCAGTCACTGTGCTAGGTGCCAGGGACACAATGGAGAACAGCTTTGGTCCTTGCTCTCACTCACTGTACCCTGGTCCAATTAGTAAGTCTTATTTTAAAAAATTCCACAGGAAGTTACTCTAATTATGGAATAAGGCTATATTTTACTATAAAATGAAAGTTTTAATATCCATACTTGGATCCTTACCAAGAATAACTTATTAAAAAATAAAAAATAACTTCAGTGCCACCTCACAGTAACACTATTTCCCCAACTAATCCTCTAGGTGAAGTAGGGGTATCTGTGGGTGCATATGTGTGCATGTGTGTGTAGTGTGTGCAGATGAGAAATAGATCTGATAACTTGGTGAAGAGAAAAACTTCAACAGGAGAGAATTCCATTGCTAGAAGCTGCTATAAGAGTAAAAGTATTTAATATTTATTCCTTTCCAATCCAAGTAGCAATGGAAAGGATCCTACTTTAAAAAAAATGGGGTTAGCTTATATTGTGAAACAAGAAAAATAAAAGCAAATGGTAAAAATAAAACCAGAGCAAAGAAGAAAACCCATTATTTTGGGGTATCCGGAGATAAACCTTTAGGCACTGAAAAATGGGCAAAATAAGCCAAAAGTAAGCAGAAGGAAGAAAGTAACCATAAGAACAGAGGTCAATGAAGTTAAAAACAGTAAACAATTGAGAAAACCACTGAACCAAAAAGCTGGTTCTTGGGGGGAGGAGCATCAATAAAATTGATAAACCTCTAGGAAGGCTGACCTAAAACAGCCTTACATGAGAAGTCTACCAAACATTTAAAGAATTAACATGAATGTTGCATAATCTTTTCCAGAAAACACATGAGAGAATACTTTCCAACTCATTTTATGAGGCCGGTATTACCCAGATACTAAAGCCAAAGACAATATAAAAAAAGACAATACAGAGGAGGAGGAAGAGAAAGACGGGTGTGGTTCCAACAGAGCAACAGGAAGGATCCCTGCGGTGACAGAATGGTTTTGTATCTCCACTCCAGCAATGCCAAGTGTCTTGCTTGTTGCATTGTACCCTAGCTTTACAAGAAAAGTAGTTTGGAAAACTAGTTTGGGAACCTTGGGAAAACTGGGTAATGGGTACACAGGATCTCTCTGTATTATTCCTTACAATTGTCTGCTAATGTACAATTAGCCCAAAATTCAATTTTAACAAAAGGTATATTATTATACCTTGTGTCTGCTTGAGTAAACCATTACTGCAGTCCTCAGTGGAAGCTGAGGTAATAAAAGTATAACTAAAAACAAAGGCACTTCTCGACACAACATTGTAAAATGACTATAACTCAATAAAAAATGTTTAAAAAACAAATAAAAAACAAAAACAAAGGCACTTCTGTAGTAAGTAAAAAGAAACTAGCCCAGTTGTATTATTTTCTGAGAAACTATGAGGGAATTTGGAGAACTCTGGTTATAAGTTAATTTGAGAAATAGCTTATCTCAAAATATGTTCTCTGTGGTTTACCACACATCGGTCAAAACCGTCTTCCTTTATATTCCTTGAATACACCCCATTCCCACCTCATAGCCTTTGTACATCTTCCCACTACCTGGAACGCTCTTCTACAAACTCACTCATTTCTCAGGTCTCCAATCAAAATATCTTTTCTGATCATCTTATTAAAAGTGACTTCCTTGAGAATGGATAAGATTAAAAATGACTTAATTATCAACCAACTATACTATATGGACCTTGTTGGCATACCAATTCAAGCAAATTGTAAAAAAAAAAACACCTTTATGAGACGGGAATTAGAATACTGGCTAATTATTTGATATTAAGACACTACTGTTAATTTTCTTTAGGCAAGAAAATGGTATTGTGGCTAATGAAATGTGTATGGGTGATGTGATATAATATCAAGGTTTGCTTCAAAATCATCCAACTGTTGGGGGGGGGTGTGGGGAAGGGGAATAAGAGATGAAATAAGATTAGCCAGAAATTGATAACTGCTTAACTAGGTGATGAGTGCATGGCACAGAGATCATTCTACTAGTCTCTCTACTTCTGTATACATTTGAAATGTCCCATAACTAAAGTTAAATAAAGTGACCCTCCCCAGTAATTCTCTTTATCCTGGTTATTCCTTTCAGAACACTTATCACAATTTCTCACTGCCTTATTTTTATGCACTTGTTTGTGTCCTCCACTAGAATGCAAGCTCCATGAAGGCAGGGACCAGATCTGTCATGCTCATCTGTATCCCAGCCAGCCATGCCAATATAACACAACGAATGAATGAATGAAGGAACAAACTAACGCCACTCAGGATTAGGTGGCCTCTTGCATCTGCTCACTTTAGACAAAGCAAGAACCTTCTCCAGGCCTGCTATTGGGAACATTTAGAAGCCTGATGCTTACTTATCATTCCTTACAATGTAACCCACCACACACAGCAGGTACGTGGGTCCAACGTGTTTCTTCAAAGCTTCTGAAAGATCTGCTCATACCCTTTAACAGATACTCAGCTGATGGATATTTAACTGGGGAAAGAACTACAACCTGATGGGCCCACCATGATGCAACGGCTACTAAGAATTTTATGGCGACATCCTGAAATCATGACACTGTGCAACATAATGAACCATACAGCAATTTTGTGGACCCCAACAGAGCTGAACTGACATCAATTAATCAAGATCAGCCTTAAGAACCAACTAAATCTGTCAGCTACACTCATGCCAAAATTGCTTTCTGGAGACATTCTTCAAAATTTAAGTGGATGGGCAGGAGGGAGAGTAACTTGCATGTGTCTTGACGTGTGGGCCCAAGAACGTCACCGTGCACTGTGGGAGTCATTGGCCTCAGGTGGTTACCAAGCACTTGAAATATGGCTGGTGTGACTGAGATTGATTGAGATGCACTATAAGTGTGAAATCCACACCTTATTGTGAAGACAGTATAAAGAAAAGAAAAATATATTGATTTTTATATTGATTGCATGTTAATGTTAAAAAAAAACACTCAACTAGACAGGACTAAATAACACCTCGTGGAAGTGAGCCTGCTTGTGGTAGGCCCAAATAAGAGGCTGTGGGAGCTCAGAGGGACTTCCAGATCTCCTTTGCTAACACTGTCTGCCCTTTTGAGAGGTTCCAGGGGGAAGAGACCCTTCTATGTTTTACGGTGCACAACTCTAGGGTCCTGACCGTGTACTCCAAATATCTGAGCAACTTCTAAACTCAAAATTTGAATCCCTCCCCATAGTCATCTCTCACTCACCTCCTTGACCAAGATCTCCACTTCTCTGGGGGAGAGTGAAAGTCAGGCACATTGACTGCCAATAAAAAGCCAATCGTTTCCTCTACATCTGGTACTGGAAGCTTCTGGCTCTCGTTTAAGTCAACACAGAATGTCATCTGTGCTCCAGACACTCACCCCCGAGTCAGGCTGTCTGATTAGGAGCTAGGGAAGAGCAGTCTGACAATGGATCCAAGACAGGATAAAGCACAGGCTAATTATCTATTCTAAAGCTGTCATTAAAATAAGACCAAATAATATCAAGACCAGAAAACAACATACTTAGACCATGGTGGCTTATCTCTCCTAACAAATGCCTCAACTAGCAAAGTCAATATAAAAAATAACCACAAAATTGCTTACACTGTTCATATGTTATTCACTCATTATTTAAGGATCCCATGCTTAAAAATTCATAGAATTCTGGGCCTGGAAGTATCTTAGTTTTATGAAAATGAAAACTACATAATCCATTGCATATGCCTTTATCCGTTTATCCCTTTGGCTGCCAAGAAGCCAAGGGATACAGTTAAAGTAACACTAAATCAACTTAGGTAATCACCTTATGCCAAATTCTTGGCACAATTATTATAGTCCTTTGTTCTAATAGGTTTCTGATGTACCTATTTAACCTTTTTTACCAGTGACTATCATGAAACACACTTTAAATCCTTTCTTTTTTACCTGAAGGCAGGTAAGTTATTAATTATAAAATTAAATTTTCACTGCCAACTTAAACATCAGAGAGCATTTGCTTTAGCAAATAGTTTTAGTCTAAGTGATTCCTTTAAAAAGTATATTCTAACAACAAGTAAGGCTTGAAAAGGAATTTTTTTTTGGAGAGATGACAAGTGGTTTATTAATAACAATATTTTGACATATTATTCCACATTTACATTTCTTATGTAAGTTAATTATCTGTTCATGCCCTTTGTCCAGTCTTGAAAAGGAATTCTTAAAAAATGACCAGCTCACCATGTAACACAATCACCAGTACCATTTTTGTGCTATCCACCATCTGATGATAATCAACAGTGCAGCAATTTCCCAAAGCCAAACTAACACTTAGCCTCAAGCACAGAAGGATGTTATGATCAGACATGCATCTAATAACTTGAAAAAGTTATTTAACTATATTAAAAATAATGTGGTACAAGTAAACTAGGACACTGCCTTGTTTTACTGCACATAATTCTAATCTCACTAATCAAGAACAATCTTTCTCTCCAGTTAGGACTTTAAGGTAACATTCATAAAGCCTTAAAAAGCCCATGAATTACACTCTAAAGCCCTTGAACTAAAGCCATGATTATACAGCTTGGTCAATAACCAGTTCAATGAATCCTCAAAAAACCTTGATATTATTCTTATAGTTTCCTCTAAGAGATGGTAAGTTAGGTAGTGATTGATGGTAGAACAATTGATGGTGTGCCTATAACCTGTTTGTTCTTAATATAAATCTACGAGGTGGAAAGATCTGGTTTAGCAATTTAAAAGGTAACACTCCTTGTTCTCTCCCTTGAGCTAATGGCATGTCCTCCAAATGGCTTTGGGCCAATTACTCTCCAGCTGTGGTGGTGGGGCAGATGATTGGCTATATCCATCCAATGAGAAAACTGGCTTCTCCCTTACCTTTTCCTTTAGGATCAGGCATAAGTGCATCTGATTAGCATGGAATGTTAAACACAAAAAGGAAATAAAGTGAATCGAAAAGTGTGTTTTGATTGGTGGCATTCTTAGGAAAATCTCAAGAATTTAGATCGAGATGTTGGCATGTGCGAAATACGTGAGATTAACCAACATCAGATATAGTTCTTAGGAAAATCCTAGACAACCAAGGCTAAAGTCATCCCCCCTCAGCCTATCCAGAGTAACCAAATAAACTAAAATTTAACAATAGTGAAGAGAATCGAGTCAAAAAGTTTAGTACATATAACAAAAAAGAAACAGACACAGATATAGAGAACAGACTAGCGGTTACCAGTGGGGAAAGGGAAGGGCAAGATAGGGGGAGGGGATTGAGAGGTACAAACTACTACATACAAAATAAATAAGCTACAAGGATATATTGTACAACGCAGGGAATATAGGCAATATTTTATAATTACAAATGGTATATAACCTTTAAAAATTGTGAATCACCACGAAATTAGTGAATATAACAAAGAAGCAGCAGACTCACAGATACAGAGAACAAACTAGTGGTTACCAGCGGGGAGAGGGCAGGAGGGGCAGCATAGGGGTGGGGGAGTGGGAGGTACAAACTATGGGGTGTAGGATAGGCTACAAGGGTGTACTGTACAACATGGGGAATACAGCCAATATTCTGCAATAAGTCAAAGTGGACCGTAACCTTTAAAAATTGCATTAAAAATTGTGAATCACTATGTTATACACCTGAAACTTATAAAGTATTGTACATCAACCACACGAATAAAAAATATGATATACTTAAAAGTTTCAAAAGCCAGATGAGATACTGCATCAGCCCAAAATTCAAATACCTACAGTTGGGCAAGTAACTTAACCTGTGAATCTTAATTTCTTTGCCCATAAAATGGGGATAGTAACAGCAACTCCTCATAGCAGTGTTGAAGAGATTAAATATGAGATGTGTATAAAGTGCTTAGGGTAGGAACTATATAGCACATTTCAAGCAGTCACTATACATTATCATTAATATTGGTATTACTGATAGGAGTAGAAACTCATTCAACTTTTCTGAAGAGCAATTTGGCAGGAGGTATTAAAAAGCCTCCCAAAGTGGTGTATACCCTTTAACCTAGTAATTTGCCTTCTAGAGATTTATCCTAAGGAAATAATCAGGAATGGCCAAACATTTATGTTCAAGAGTTTTCATATAAAGTAAATAGGTAAAAATTGTAAATATCTAATAATAGGGACTTGGTTATCTAAAATTATAGCAAAACCATGATATATAGCTATTTAAAACCATGTAAACATTAAGGGGAGAATCTATTCAAAATATACTGCAGAGTGAAGAAAGCTATAAACAACCTGTCCTACACTTTTGAGAAAGTACGTAGACACACAAACATCTGGAAGGTCCTAAGTCAAAATGTGAACAGTTTATTTTAGCTGGTGGAATTATCTGGGATGTCTTTTCCCCTCCTTGTCCTCTTCTATATTTTCCACGTCTTCCGCAATATCATCACCATGCCTTACCACCATCTGTGCATTTATTTTGTGTTGGACAATGTTCTAAGAACTTTACTCCTATCTCATTTAATCCTCACAATAACCCTATGGGTAGATACTACTTTACAGATGATGCAAAGAAAGGCTAAGGATTCAAATCCAGCTTCTCTGATTCCAGAACCTGAGCATGTAACCTCTCGTATGTATTTGTGTGTGTCATATACCCATATATATGCATGTATGTTTCCTCAAAAACTGGACAGCAAAGGATGACCCTGACTTAAGAAGAAAAGCCACTCCATTCAAGAGAGCATCAACCCCTGAGATTCTGCCAAATTGCAGCAAATAGCGAAACAGTTTCATTTGAGGATGGGCTCTGCGTTCCTCATCTGATGACCCACAGCATCCACTGAGCTGCCCTGCCCATGACCTTCAGATCCCAAGAGTCACACAGGGCAGCCGTTACCACTCCTGCAGTACAGAAGAGCCAAAGGTTGGGGGCAGGGAAGTGAGGGGAAACTCCATAGGCAACATATTCGATTATGTTCAATGAAGATTTCAGAACATCTAAGGAGCCAAAAAGCTAATAATTAAGCCAGAAACAAGACAACCTAACCAGTCAGCAATTTTTCACATTGGACTTAATCTAATCCAATGTTTCCAAGTTGTTCCCATCTGGTTGTTTCAGAATGAAATCAGCCTTTTATCTCATTAGTAGACTGGGATTGCTGACAGTTTAGATAAACCAATCTGAACACTAAATTGTTCTCCCCCTCTCCTCTCCCAATATAGCCTCAGGTTCTGATGTGATACACTATGCAGAGGGTACACAAGGAAAAATAAAGCTTTTGCATTTTTCCTAGAAGCATAGGAAAAGGAGTTAATAGCCACAGTTCTCTAAGGGGACCAAAAAAAAAAACACCTCTGAATAAAAATCATTCCTGTCCCTTAGCTGTATGCTACTTGCAAAGTCTGGTCCTGTTTTGTCTTCTTTATTACTGCCCATGAGTCATAATGGTGTGGTTAAAGCTAAAGCTTGGCTAGCCTCCTTCCACTAAGGCATTGCCTGGTTACGGATGGCAGTGTGTGCACTATCATTTGCATCACAACCAATGGCACAATGATCAAGCATCCAGAAAGAAGCTGTCTGCTACACATGAATGCTTTTATCAGCAGGGTCTAAAAAGGATAAGGGGGGAGTTACTCTTTGGTAATCAGTTTAAAGAAAGAAAACAGGAAACATAAGGACTTAGAAAAAATGTTCAAAGTAATCTTCACCAATTTAACTGATCACTAGGTTTGGTGTAAACTTTCCCCTTAACAGTAACAGATAACTGTATAAGACTGTGTGGTCACTGCTATGATTTGATCAACAGGGTACTAACACAAAAAAACACCTATCAGAACCAGAAGATTCTACGGTTAGATGGAAGGGGTATTGAAAGGATCAGGTGACCAAGGTATCTCTAAGATGGCCCAAAGGGGCAGGAATGTGGAAGTGGGGGTAGGGAGCAAATTTAATTATCAAGGCAAACAAACTCGAGTTGCAAAAATTAGAATTCCAGGCCTTCCACTCGATTATCTTAACATTAAGGGATAAAACGGTTTCCTAAACTCCCCACATGGCTTTAAAAGAAGTGGGCAAGGTCAGGATAAACTTTGGTACTGAAAAAATATGCTTTTGTACTGTCTGAACCAGTAGCTACAGTGAGGAAGCCAAGGATTCCAGAATTAAGGTTCCCTAAGATTTTCTGGGTGGCTCAAAATGAGATGCTGGCTGTCAGGATGCAGTTAATGCATCATTTTATCTGATCGTCTAGATTTAACTTAAGTCTAAAGACGTGAAAAGCCTAACGCTTGCCAGTCTAAGGGAAATCCTCCGTAATAATTTTGGCGCCCTCAGTACATAATGTCAATTTCCCTCAACAGGAAACACGACTGACATCGTTTCTAATCAAAAAGCTGCTTCTTTGACTCTAGGAGAAACACTAGGAGGAGTCAGTACGCAGCAGGATCTTCCATGCAGTCTGGTCTATGACCTGAAGAGAACCCAATCCGGTCTGGATGGCTCCACAGCGAAGCGACAAAGCCACGTGTCCCCACTGCCGAGCCTAGGCGTATTTCCCCTCCCGTAGCTTTAGGCAGCCACCATCCCCGCGTTGGGTCCTCCAGCTCTTGCCCTCAAACCCAGAAGCTTCGCCTCCAGCTCCATCTTGACTCCACCCCACCGCACGGTGAGAATGAGCGTGACCCTCCCGCGAGAGGTAAAATAACGGAAACTGCCCACGGGGCACGCTCGCCACCTAGCTGCCCCTTCCCCCCACCCCAGTCCTTTGGAACTCACGCGGTGGCCCCATCCCCCTACCCTCAGCTGCCTAAGTGTCTCCCTGGCCGCCCGGGCACGTGAGGCCGGTCGGGGTCCCAACTTCATCCTCACCAGGTCTCCTGGTTGCTGAATTTCTTAGTCACCACCTTGCCTAGCTCCAGGCCCAGGCGGTCGGCAATCTTCTGGGATAGGTCCTGGTGGGAGCTGCCACTGAAGATTTTGATATTCGGCATCTTGGCCAACTACCCTAGGCGCTCTTTGCTTAGCGATCACTGCTGCTGCCGAGACCCGAACCAAGTCGGCCGAGAGGCTCAGTACTAAGCACTTCGCGTTGCTATTCCGCCATCTTACATTCCCGCCCCGCGCGCGGCTCTAAATTGCCCAGCGCCGGGGAGGCGGGGTCAGCAGGGAAGTTTACACCCCGCCCGCCCTGATTAGCTGAGTGCCAGCGAGGGGCGGACCCTCACTGTAGTTCCTCCTGCCTCCGCCGCGCTCAGGTATTGACTGGAGGCCACGAAGGGGGCCAGGCTAAGGAGTAGCTCCGCCCCCTGTTGCCAGGCGGTCGGGGAGGGCTGGCGAAAAAGCGCCTAGACACCCGCGCTTGGCTGGGGGTGGAGGGATGCTGGTGACGCGTAGGGCCGGATCTTTCCCGCAAGCGGGAAATCAGCCACGCGCCTTTTTTTTTTTTCCCTTCAGCACCTGAGAGTAAGCCTGGCTCTGGTTTACGGTTTCTTTTAAGAATATCCATTTATCAGGATGGCAGCCACACTGTCAGAATGAAGGAGCGATTTCTGAACATGCTTTTTATCTTGTTGTAAGGATGAGGCTGAATTAAAGCACAGTTGCATCACAGAGACCCACCCATAGCACAGGCTCATCCAAAGGGTAAACAAGCAATTGCAGTGTCGCCGTGGCCTGGAAGACAAGTCCCAAGGGGAAAGTGACTGAGGGCATGCCACCTGAATCATCCAGAGACACTGCAACAGAAAGCTGCATTTTGATTTTGGCTCTGGGACCAAAGATGTTCAAACAAGGGAAGGAGAATGGATTTTCCAAAATATCGGCGCAAAAAAAATATCTGATTTATCTGACCCCTGGAAAGGAGAGAAAATATAGTATACTTATGCGACTTCAGATAAAAAGCCCCTGAAGGAATCAGAAAACCTGGTTTTTGGTCCTGTCTGCTTCATGTTATCCTCAGCACCATATTCTGCATGTTGCTAATGTGTCCTTTTATACCATTATTTTATTATTTTTATGATGATACTTGCTAATTAGACCAAATAGAGCCTTTATTCTCACACCACATTTTCATAAAATATATTCCAACCATAGGTTAGAAGTAAGAGAAAAATCAGACAATTTTAGAATCATATAATTTTAGTTGTGAGTGCCATAATGCTCATAACTACAAGCTGTAAAAATAGAAGGGACTTCAGAAATCATCTAGTCTACTAGCTTCATTTTACATATGGTGAAACCGAGACCAAAGATATGAAGGAATTTGTCCAAGTGGTAAAGGCAGAAAATATTTAAAGCAGCCTCCCAGCTTTCTCTTCCTGCCATTTTCAGTAGTACCCATGGAGGATCTCTCCTTCTGACCATTTGTCATAATTTTACCAGTTTGGAAATTTAATATGGGCCCAGGTGTATAGGCATACTTGAAGAAGGAAGGGGACTGCAAGGCAGAATATTAGTAGTCTTCAATCACATTTCATTCATCAAATATTTACTGAGTCCCTCATTGCATACAAAAGAGTATGCTAGGCATTGAGGGGACTATAAGTACTTGCCTCCAGAGAATTTATTCATTCAATATTTATTGAAATATTTATTGAATACTTTTAATATACCAGGCCCTGTTCTGGGCACTGAGAATACAGCGGTAAACAGTCAGAAACCCCTGCTCTCACAGAGTTTACATTCTCAAATAAACATGTAAATGAAGAAACTGTATAATGTCAAGTGGTGATAAGTGATGTGGAGAAAAATCAGACAAGGAAGTGGGAAAATGTGCCAGGGTTGTGGTGGAGGGGAGGGTGAGTATAGTTTTAAGCAGGGTAGTCAGAGAAGGCCTATCTGGGAAGGTGACATTTGAGCGAATGTCACCTTCCCAGATAGGGAAAGTGAGGCAAAGGAATGAACCATGCTGATATCTGGGACAAGCAGAGGGAACAGCAAAAACCCTAAGGCAGGAGTGTGTCTGACTTGTTCAAGGAACAGTAAGGAGATTGGTGTGTCCGGTGCGGTGAGGGTTGGGGCGGTGGGCGGTGGAGCCATCTGAAAGAGAAAATAAGGAAAAATGAGATCAGTGAGATAAGAGTGATTGGTGGGAAGATGCTGAACATGTAAGACCTGGTAGATCATTTTAAGGATTGTTGCTGTTACTGAGTAAGGGTTTTAAGCAAAGAATGACGTGAGCTGACTTCTCTTTTAAGAGGATCATGCTGAGAACAGAGTGTAGGAGGCCAGATAAGAAGTAGGGAGACCAATTAAAAGTTGGCTTCCTAGTAGAGGAGATGAGACATTTATACAAATATTTATGACACAGTATAATTTAATACACTACAATAGAGAACCCCGTGTTTGAGTAAAGGGTAAGCTGCTGTAACACAGACCCTAAAATACAGTGGCTCAAAAAACACAGATATTTCTCTCTTGCATGACACACTGCCAGGCTTAGGCCAGTGGGACCATTCTGCTCCATGCTAGGTTATGAGTCCATCCACAGTCCAGCTCGTGGGAAGCAGGGAAAGAGAGGAGGTCCAGCCAAGGGATTTCTTTGTCAGCAGGTCAGGTGGAATTTGTTCATTTCATTTTCCATCACAGCCCTTTGGAATGAGCTTAGTCACATGGCAAGAGCTTAGTTGAAAGTCACACCTACCTGCAAGAAAGACCAGGAAATGTCTTGTTTGGTGGCCCTGCATCCTGGGAGGTTTTTCTGGGGGTAGAAGCACATGAGCTTGGCCTTGAAGGATGGGTAAGGTTTTGACAGTGAGGAAATACAATTCATATTTTGTGGCAAGACAAGAAAAATGTAAGCATAAAAAATTTCTCTGCCCATTTGGGCCTCCTCTCTCCCTTTAGTGTGTGCTGGGCATCTGTATTAACCAGACCTACCTAGGAGACAACCTTCCTTCTTAATCTTGTGAAGGGTCAAGATGACCCACTACTTGTTCATATGCACAGATTAAGATTATGTAAACTGTCAATACATGATTTGATGTATAACTCTTTGTCTGAAAACTGTACTTTGACCTCTCAAGGGCAGAACAGTCCTCAGAAATTTCTGAAAGATTGTCTCCCAGGTTATAATCCTCAGGTTGCCTCAAATAAAAATTTTCATTTCTTTCTTAGATCTACTATTGATTAATTTTTTTCATCGACAACAGGTAATGATTGGGAGGAGGTGGTTCTCCCCCAGGCTGGAAGCAAAGGTGAAGAAGTAGAGCGAGGTTTTGAGGAAAGGGAAGTAGTTTCCTTTGGCTGGAGTACCAAGAACCACTGTTGAGATTTTATTCTGCAGGTGATGGGAAGCCATCAACTATTCTGGAGTAAGGAAATGACATGATCATAATTGTGCTTCTGGTAAAATTATCTGTGTGGGTTAATAATAAGGGAGAGATTAGAAGCAGATAAACCAGGTTGGGAGGGTAAGTTAGTAATGTCCTTAATTGGGCCAGTAGCTACAGGGTTTAAAAAGAGGGATGGAAGAGACATTTTTTGTGAATTTCAACCTTTTGGAAATCATGGACCCCTTTGAGAATTTCATGAATGCTAAGGATCTACCCTTCAGATTAACAATCAAAGAACCCTGGACTCCTTAGATTAAAACTAATAATTCCATTAGGGCAAAAACCAAGTAATCTAATCAGCAAATTCCAGAAGGTAAATGTGTGTGGGAAAAAGTGCTGTTATCTTTGTTCCTTCCTTCTCTCTCTAGAAAGGTAAGCAATGTTAGGGCATAGGGGAGGGGCTTCTTAGTCAATATCTAAGGTAAGGTAGTCCTGAGGAGAAAGTTGATTTGTTTATTTTTGTTATTAAAAAATTTTTTAGAACATTTATGTCATTTTTTCATACAATTTATTTTATTTTATTTATATATTTATTTATTTGGTGGGAGGTAATCAGGTTTATTTATTTATTTAAAATTTTTATTTCTTATTGAAGTGTAATATATTTACAAGTTTAGTTTCAGTTGTACAGCGAAGCAATTCAGTTACACATATATATACATGTATTTTTTTTCAGATTCTTTTCCAGTATAGCTTATTACAAGAAACTGAATTGTGCTATACAGTAGGTCCTTGTTGTTTATCTATTTTATATATAGTCATGTATATCTGTTAATCCAAAACTCCTAATTTATCCTCCCCCTTTATTTTTGATGGAAGTACTGGGGATTGAACCCAGGACCTTGTGCATGCTAAGCATGCACTCTACCACTGAGCTATACCCTCCCCACCCCACCCAGAGAAAGTTTAAAGGGGACTTGAATTAAAGTCATTTAGAAAAAAATGTCCTCAGACCTTTAGGGATGGTGAATATGGACAAATTAGGCCATCAGAATAGGAACAATGTGTGTGGCATAAGGATCTTAAGATGTGAGGTTTTGAAAAGGGCGTGCTGAGTTTTATATAAATAGTGATGGGTTCTGTAAGTTTGATATTATTCAAAAGAAATGTGCTGAGATCCTTCTACATGCCAGGGCCTCTGGAGGGTGGGCTTATAGAGAATGAACAGTGCACAATCTTTTCTCCCTAGCAGGCAAGACAGATACTTACAGAAATAAGGTTAAGTATGGGGGTGCGTGAGAAACAATAAAAAAATCGGAAGAGTCTTGCAGGAAATGGGCCTTTCACAACCAAGGATGGCAACCTTGAGAAGAGATTTATCAAAGGCCCTGGGGCAGGCAAATGCACTTGTAGGGTGGGATTAGGTAAGGTGAAGGGAGAGGAGATGTGTTGAGACCTCAGGTAAGAAAGGTAGCTAGAAGCCTGATGGCCAACTTTATGTATCAACTTGTCTAGGCTGTGGTCCCAGTTAATGAATCAAACACTAATCTGGGGGTTATTGTAGATGTGATAACATTCATAATGGTGATCTTTAAGTAGAGGAGATTTTTGTAGACAATTTGAGTGGGTCTGATTCAATCAGTCTTAAGAGCAGAACTGAAGTTTCCCTGAGGAAAAAGGAATTCCATGAGTGGAATCCCAGCCTGTCCTTCCTCCTGGCCTGCCCACAGATTTCAGACTTGACTAGCCAGCCCCCACAACGGTGTAAGCCAATTCCTTCCAAGAAACCCCTTAATATACACCTCCTCCTGGATCTGTTTCTCTGATTGACCCTGACCTATACAAAACCAGTTTGTGGAGGGGTTTGGATGCCAGTTTCAGGGTGCTGAGAGTAAAAGCCTGGAGTCCTGATTCCTGAGCTGGAGAGAAAGGGAGGGTGAAGAGC